CCCCAAAACCCCAAAACCCCAAAACCCCTTCTTGCTAAAATTATTAATTCTTAGTACAATTAACAAAACAATTATTAATTATTGCATCTTTAAACTAATATTTTTCTAAATTCTAGGTTTTATTTTTTCACAGAACAGATTCCTATGAAACAGCGCAGACTTTTCTATATATCTCATCATAAAATTCTTTCTTTTCCTCCATTAATTTAAGATACTCCTCAGGTAGATTCTCACATCTCTTTCTAATCTATCCAATAAATACACCAATGAGATTCTTCATTCCAAAGTTAATAAGTGCTTATGGGATGTAGTCTAGATGAGGATCAACATTTTATATCATTTTTAACACAGATGTATTCTTGTCTAAGGCCTTTGCATAAATGAATGCCTTGTGGATGTCCATATATACACATTTAGGATCTCTCTGAATGCTAGTACCAAACCATGAATCCTTTTCAACTGAACTTAGTGTCAAAATACAAGCCTTTTAATCTTCAAGTGCAATACCGCAAGCTGATAAATAAACTTCTCTTGCAGACATTGGGAAGGGGAAATTTTGTTTTAAATATGCCAACTTTCTCAAGTGTGAGACGCTACCTTTTAACTCTGACTTTGCTGTGAAGGGTATCCATTTCTAAAACAGATCAACTTCAGCTAGAATAGTAAATAAGTTCATGAGAGGTGACTTAAACTCAACTTCAAGGTACAAAGTCAGTCCTTTGAAGCCTTATTCTTGTCTATAATAAATTTTGAAATCTGGCTTGTCTGTGTGTCTAGTCCAGCTACTCATATCAGAATTCAACTCCTTCATAAAGTATTCAATTATCAAGAAATCCTTCTTCAATGCGACCATTTCCTCAGATTATTCAAATTTATCCATCTGCTACTCAGGAGTTTCACTCTGATCATCATTGAATTACACAAGATCTTGCTCAATACATTACTCTATATACTAATGGTCAGCACAGTCTATTCAATTGTATGCATATACTTACTTAACTTTTTAAATAGATTATAAGCTTAAATTGGTTCATCTTCATAGAATAGTTTGAGAATATCTTATTTAGAGGCTTCAAAATTTATAGGTTCCATAGCCTTTTGTTCATCATTAAAGATTTCTTCTTCTTAAAGTTCTGGATTTTGTTCTAAGCCTGTTCTTTCCATTTTAATAAATAAACTACTAGCATTATTAGTACTATTCACTACTTAAAATTTAAAATTAACATCAAAAATCTATTTAGCAAATCTTACTTGCTATAATATTAACTCGGGGTTTTGGGGTTTTGGGGTTTTGGGGTTTTGGGG